GATGGGTGTATCTCCAGAGCCTGCCCACAAAATCAAAAGCCAGAAAACAATTTGGGAAAAATATCTGAAATTCTTGGCAAAGCGTTAATTTCTCTAATATATTAAAGAGCTTTAAAACAAAAATTCCACTGGGAAAATAAATGGGCTTGAGGATTTGACTTAGTTCTGGAAACAAGAAAAGGGACTTGCTGTTCACCAGATGAAAAGAGAAATATACATTTCTACATTTTGCCTTGAGAGAAAAGCGTTTTCCCCATCAGATAACCAAAAGTCAAAACTTGGGTTGAAAGGGCCTCCAATGCCCAACTGCATGGTATCATAGATGCCCCCCACCAAACACACACACACTAAGAAGGACACCTGGCCATATTAAAACAGCACCTTTGACCAAGCAATTCTACCTCTAGGAACATATCCTACGCATATACTTCCGCATGGGTAAATTCAGTATAGTTGATTTAAGCCCTGAAAGCTGGAAACAGCCTAAATATCCATGACGGGGGTGGTTAAATGGAATCGTGGCCTCTCCTAGCAAGGGAATAGTGGAGACTCTTCAGGTACTGAGACTTTAAAGTAAAAAAGCAAAATGCAGAACATGTATAGAATATGCTACTACGGAGGGAGGTTGTGGAGTGGGGTGTGGGGTTATACATATTTGCTTGTATATCCATAAAATGCCTCTAGAGGGATTTGAGTTACCATGTGGAGAGAGGTGGCAGGAAAGGATCCTTAGAATGCTTTGAATTGACCCATGTAAATATATCGCCCACTAAAATGAGAATAAAATTAGGTGTGTAAGAAACCAGATCTCAGGGGGACATGGTTGCGAGGGACACAAGGGATGAGATTTCTCATTTGTAATTTTTGGATTCAGAGCCCTGTCTGGATGCTTTAGGGTCTAGACCCATGAGAATATGGAGTCCAGACCCTACTGACCCCAGATCGGGGATGAGGCTCCAGAGCCAATTTCTGAAAACTGGCCATTTTTGTCTTTTATGTGGGCTTCAAACACAGAAATGAGGCCATGTGCTCACTTAACCAGGAGGGGAAATCTGGGCAAGTGGCTGGTGGGTTTGCAATTACATTCCTTCACACGCACCCTCACCCCTACCCTGGTTCTAGAATTCTCACTGGGAGACTCAGAGGGCTGGGACCTGGCCTTGCAACTGCTCAGCTGGGAAGGAAAGCTGGGCTGGCAGTCAAGGGCTTTACAGAAACACAGTTGGGGGGGGGGGC